GCCGGCCCAGAGACAGGCAAAGCCCAGACACCCTTTATGGCTGGTGTGGGGGTCAGCGGTGTCCTGGCTTGGAAGAGTGGGTGTAAGGTAGGAGTGAGGAAGAGAGGGAGCTTGAAGCTGCCTCCGAGCCTAACAGGACAGCTGTTACACTCACCCTGCCCACAACCTCACTCACATTTGGTAACGAGAGAGGCTGACTTATGCTCATTACTTTGGTCATTCTCATAGCAGGCATTGTGGTTGTCCCCAACATCCATCCCAGTTCCCTGCTCTGGGATGTAACTCAAGGTTTAAGTAAGTCTCCACCGCTCTTAGCTCTATGACTGGGCTCTGATTGGTCTAAGTCAGTGGTTCTTAAAGTATGGTCTGAAGACCCCTGGGGGGGGGTGTCCCTGAGGACCTTTCAGAGAATCTCTGGAGTCAAAATTACTTCATTATAATATGAGACATTATTTACTTTTCTCACTGATGGTGCCAAAAGCAAAAGTGTGCAAACGATGTGCTGATGCTTTCCCAAATCAAGGGAATGGCACCCGACTGTGCTAGTGTTTGCACCACCGCAAACTCATGGTGGAAAAAAATGCATTTAAGAATGTTTCTGATGGAGCAGCAAAAATGTGATTAACTAATTAAAATCTCAACCCCTAAGATTTTAAAATCTTTCCAAAAAATTTTATATGACAAAATTGAAACTGCACGTAAAATACTCTTGCTGCAAGCCAAAATATGATGGTTGTCTAAGGAGAAGCACTCATGCAATCATTTGAGTTGTAAGCTGAGCTAGCTGGTTGTTTTTGTTTGTTTGTTTTTGTGGAATACCATTTTTACTTGAGAAAACAACTGACAAATTGTGGTTATTTCAACCTGGGTATTTGGTAGACATTTTCTTGAAAATGAACCAAGTGAGCTTGTCTCTTCAAGGAAAACAATCGACTATTTGTTACTAATGATGACCAATTTCAACTTTCTTGGAATTTTGGAAGCTTGCATTGCCACCAGCTTGACAGCTTCTCAATATTTAAGGACTTTTCTGATCAGCTCAGTGGTGATATAAATGAATGTGATTTTTGGAAGTTGGGTAATGTGTTGTGTGCCAACATTTGGAAGACCTGCATTTACTCAATGAACCAAAATTTCCAAGTGGCTGATGCATGATGTTACAAAATCATACATGAATAAAAGATCCATTTTAAATGCAAGGCAGACAATGGATATTAATTTAACAATATGAAAAGTTTATAGGTAAGGTTTCAGATTCCACAGTGCAACAAGCTTTTAAGAAATCACCTCTTGTAGAGTTTTGGTGTAGTATCAAAGAATATCCACAATTAAGCTAAAAGACTATGAAAACACTACTCTCTTTTCCAATTACATACCAATGTGAAGCAGATTTTCTTCATATTCTTTAACTAAAACAATTTGCAACAGATTGCATGCAGAAGCAGATATGAAAATCCAGCTGTCTTCTGTTAAGCCAGACTTAAAGAGACTTGCAAATATGTTATTTTTAAAAAAGCCATTATTCTCACCATCTTTTTGTTTTGGAAAACATAGGCTTTTTTGGTCAACATGTTATGTTAACATGTAATTTTATTTTTTTTAATGAATTATTGTATTATTTTTAATAAATTTAATTTTTTTCTTCCAGTTTTATTGAGATACACTTGACACACAGCACTGTATAAATTCATGATGTACAACATAATAATCTGACTTACATACATCATGAAATGATTTTCTCAGTGAGTTTAGTTAGCATCCATCATCTCATACAGATATAAAATTAGATTATAGATAAGAAATAGAAAAAATTAGATTATACATAAGAAATAGAAAAAAAGTGTTCCCTCATGATGAGAATTTTCAGGATTTATTCCCTTAACAATGCTCATATATAACGTACAGCATTGTTGATTATATTTATCATGTTGTACATTACATTCCTGGCACTTATTTTACAACTGCAAGTTTGCACCTTTTGACTTCCTCCATCCAATTCCCCTCTCTCCATCCTCCACCTTTGGTAGCCACAAATCTGGTCTCTTTTTCTATGAGTTTGTTTGTTTTTAAGTATAATGAACCTACAATACTGTTACACAACATAGTGGTTTGGTATTTCTATACATTTCAAAATGATCACCATGGTAAGTCCTATTATAATCTGTC